CGGAGACACACATTTTGAACCTAACTGCTACAATACTAATCCTGCAGAATCCATTTTTTCAGACAAATTCACTCTTTATATTCCTACTAGCTTTAAATAAATGGCTCCCACAAAGAGCTATTTACTATGGAAAGGGTATTTCTTCATGAGTATTGGTGATTACAACTGTCAAAAATACCCTTATAGCTTTCACATGCTAAAGGTTATTATTTTAGTGCTATGTCATATTTATGGTTATCAGCCATTGCTAGTTATCAGGAAGCAGCGGTCATTATACAGTTCAGTTTATTTTAGTACCTCTAATGTATTTCTCAATTTCACATTTTTGGAATTAAACTGTATCAAGATTGTGTCATTAAAAGCGTATTCACTCAGTATCATTAATTCACAGTGTTACTGCTTTACTTCACTTTATTAATTAATTTTGTGGTGAAGGGCTATGATCCGCTTATACATGGGTGTCTCTATCAGCCTAGCAGCCTTTCCACCTAATGTCCAGAGGAGCATCTTTCCCCTTAGTGGGAAAAGAGCTCTGTTCTGCAGAACCCGAGTGTGAGGCATCTTTTGAGGCCTTTACCAGTAAATGAACACAGCTGGTTCCACTGACTGACATTCTGCAAGGTGTGGCTTTCACTGAAGATAAATTGTCATTACAAGCCTCGTAGAATGACCATACATTGAAGCTTTGCCTTCAACATAAAGCTGTCTTCAAATTTATTAATGTATTGCAGTTTAGAGGGTTTTTTTTCTGTTTGGGTGATATTTTTTAAATCAATAAACTGTGACGCAGTGCCTGGTTGTAACATACACAACCATCCATGGCTGGATGAAGCTTTGAGCAACCTGTTGTAGTGGAAGGTGTCTCTGCTCATGGCGAGGGGGTTGGAAGTAAATGATCTGTAAGGTCCCTTCCAACTCACACTGTTCTATGATTCTCTTTCTCTAGGCTATTAGAACACCTTTTAGCATTAACATTATGTTAAAAAAAAAAAGGTAGCTAGAAATAAAACGTTAAAAGGATTCTTTAGTTCAGGTCATTCTAAAAATGCACATCTTGTTCTACCATAGCAAAATAAAACCCCTGGAATATTTCCATATAGGTTAAAAATATATATATTTATTTTTACTTTATTAAACCCTGTTTTGAAATGTACACAATACTTTTTAGCAGAAGTAATGAGTAACAAAAGATAGTATACCAGCATATGCTTCAGTTCTATCTGTGATTATTTACAGATACACTCTTAGGTATATACTCCTTATATCACAAGGACGGGTATTTTTTGTTCACAGTTTCTGTAAATAAAGTGCTGACCTCATACTCTCCCTCCCTGATGGCAGCACAGGCTGGAGTACATCTAGAGCTGTTTCAGTTCATTACTCTCTCTCTCTCTCTCTTTATTTCCATCTATTTCAACTGCTATTACTTCCCCCCCGCCCCAGCCAGCTTTTATCTCTGTACCATAGTGGTGCCTCTTCCACAGCTGCATTCCAGGTAGCTACCATATGTGTGATTCAGACTCCATCAGATATTTCTGTTGCCTTGGTGAGAGCATGTACCAAAGAAATTCTCTCTCCAACCTGAGACCCAAAAGGGCAGAGAGCTACAGATCCATCACAGTCCTCTTGTGAAGACACTTGGCCCAGTTATGGACCCTGGCACACAGAAAGCTCTGCCGAGTTAAATTCTTTGTTTCTTTTTCTGGGCCACTGGAAAGTCACGGTACTGTATCCCTGTGACAGCCTCTGAAAAAGACTAAGCCTGGGCTGCCCTGACTCCAGCTTTTCCCCTACACTGCCACAAAGGTGCTGAGATGCTGCACGCTCTGGCTTCACCAGTGATGTAACACAGGTTACTGAGCCTGGCTGCAAGAACCACAGCTCCAGCTCACCCTGCTGAGACCAAAGTAAAAAGTCAGCGGGTGTCCACTTCCTCCATTTGTTTGTCAGCATCAAGGCACACGATTCCTTTTTTCTGACATCTCTGGCACCTTTTGGCCCTGAGAGCATTCCACTTATACACACTGATGCTGACATCAAGAACAACCATCTCTCTTCTAGTGGTTCTGTGGCAGGCTGCTGGATCTGTGCCTGGCACTTACCCTGCTGCTGAGGCCCCATTCCCCTCACAGGATGCCAAAGGGTTTGGAAGTCAGGATGGAGACTTTGGCATAGCCAGATGAGCATATCATAGGAAATACTTTCACAGTGGGACAGAACTGTTACCCATAGAAGATCCTCTGGTGTGGAGTTTGCATAGCACCAAGGATGCTAACAAGATGCTGGCAGTGGTTGCAGCCGTGGTGTTTATCACACAATCTCGGTGCAGCCTCGGATCACACGTTTCTTGGTAGTGAGATCCTGGATAGCTCCCTGAGTCACATGGCAGCGTATGTCTAGCTCATGTCAGAATGTGAATCCAGACCTGCCTGTACTCTTTGAATTGTAGCAGCCTTCCAATACCTGAAGGAGGCCTACAAGAAAGTTGGGGAAGGACTTTTCATAAGGGCAGTTAATGACAAAACAAGGGGAAATGGGTTTAAGCTGAAAGAAGGTAGGTTTAGATTAGATATTAGGAAGAAGTTTTTCACTGTGAGGGTGGTCAGACACTGGCACAGGTTGCCCAAGGAAGTTGTGGATGCCCCCTCCCTGGAGGTGTTTAAGGCCAGGCTAGATGAGGCTTTGAGCAACCTGGTGTAGTGGAAGGTGTCCCTGCTGATGGCAGAGGGGGTGGAACTGGATGATCTTTAAGGTCCCTTCCAACCCAAACCATTCTATGATTCTATGAATTGCCCTAGGAGAAGACACCTTCTGAGCGTGAGAGGTGACGTGTTCCTGTGTCAGTGGGAAAACCCAGCCAGAATATGCAAGTAGTTGTTCGTCTGTTTTTCTTGTCTCTCCAGCTTCCTTCTGATACATCTATCACTCCAAGAGTGGTGGCTTAGCCAATAGTCCTTCATGAATGCAAAGTTTCAAGTCAATATCTTGGAACTGAGGGCAGTGCAAAATCCATGCAGAGTGTTGGCCTTGTCTCTAGGGACCACCATGTCCAAGACACAACCAACAATACCATTTACTGTGACATCACTTGAAGTGGTTTGTGGCCTCTTTTACTCTGTGAGGAAATGATCAACATTTGGAAAGGGTGCCTGGAAAGCAGAACTATGTGTTGGGAATCCTATTCCCATGTATTGTAAACATCTTGAAAGCTGGACTGTATCTTACTTCTGGATTGCAAATGGGAGATAGTGCTCAATATCCTGAAGGCTGTTTTCTGGCACTGAGGATGTTCTGAGATAGACCTCTTTAGCTCAGACATTGATGAAAGATGCCAGACTTTCTGCAGAAACAGGTGATGTCCTGAGTTTCTGTTCAGTGTGTTCCTGGTCCTCTGGGCTGAAGGGCTAGTGCTCTTGACACTTCCTCTTGTTCTGAGAAATTTACTTAGAGCAAGACCCCTTCCAATCCCTAACATTCTGTGATTCTGTGAAGACAGGATGGAGGTGTCGCCATTGTGGGGGCATTTAGACTAACAACATCCTTCTGGCACCTCAGTGCAGTGTAAACTTTGCCTTACAATATTCACGTAGGAAACATTTCAGAGTAGAGCATCAGCCCAGGTGTGAGCACTTCATGTCATGGGGTGGATATAGGGTGGCTCTGCTTGCTGAAGTAGATCTGCTCTTACTTTATTATCAAAATAAGAAGTAGACTCTAAAATGCATTGTTATAATCATCTCACCATTCTGAACTTACATCAAGAGCTGGAAAAAGAAATTTCATATGATGAGAATGAAATCCTACCTCAGATAAAAGTAGCATTAAAGCTGCAGATTTCAGCAGGCCAGGAACCCGCTGACTCTTTCTGTGTGCGCTTGCAGAAGCGTGCTCGTGACCAGTGGTTGCTCAGTGCAGTCCTCAGCAAATACCGTCCTGTATAGGTGTTACCACTTAGCAGAAGGGAGTTCTCTGGCATTTCACCCTTTGCTGAACAGGACTGCAGTTCGATGAGCCTATCTTTGCACTGCTCTTTCCAGTGACACAAATACATATACAGCTCATAACAGCATTTTGCACGCTCGGGGTCACAAAGTTGTATATTTTTGGATAGATAAATCATCACGCCCGAGTTAGAACTGAATCTAGCCATACCATTCCGACCGTGCTTTTTCTAACCTCTGCAGAGGAAAAGTAATGTAAATTAAATTTAAAAGGATGTCTGTGCTTTCGTCTGATATGAATTACAAGGCTTAACTGCTTTAAATGTTTCATTTTTGTTAACAGCAGACATTGATAGTATTTTGAAAGCTGTCTGTTGATGCTTGCTGAATATGTGTCTGAAGGGATCATAATAAAAATCTTGTAGGGTGACAGAGGTCCACCTTGGAGGAGGGAAAAAAATAAAAAATACCTGTGTTCTGAATCTTACAAGGAAAAGCTTATTAATGTCAAACCTTGAACTGCAGCAAATATCAATGCTGATGCAACCCAATTATACTTTAGAAACTGAAACTGAACACAAAGCCCAAGGGGTTGAGGGTGAGAGCGTCTTGCTTAACAAGTTAGATCTACATTTTTCCCTGATGAATGAGAAAGACACAATTCATGTTTTTTTCCATGGTTACAGAAATCCAGAGCAAGCGTCAGGAAAGAAAGAGAAGAAGCACAGCAAATCCAGCCTACAGTGGACTCTTGGAAACAGAGGTACTTTATCATTCACTTTTTTTTTACCACAGTTCTATTTCATGTCAGTAAAAGGTTTAAGTGCTTCTTATTACAAAAGTATATATGAATGCAGAACCACACATTTAATTGTAAAGAGATTGAGGTGGAAAAGAAAGAGAAGATCTCATCTCAGTAGCTAAGCAACAGGTTTTTACCCCACAACATCACTTGCTTCAAACTGTAATTTGTCTTAGTTTGAATAAAGGCGAAAGGACTAAATTAATGTGGGACCTAATTACTCTTTCGCCCACGCAGACAGTCCCTTTAGGTCAGAGCTGAAGATCAGAAGTGCTGCATTATGTTCAAACTTGCATTGCTATTTCTCTTTTCCAACGTGCTAAATAATAAACGGCAAACTTTGATTAGTGACATTCATAAAAGTAATGTATTGGTTTAAGAATCAGTGTGCTCTGCAGGGGGTATGGAAGCCTGCATAATAAATATAATAATGCATAATTAAAAATAAGATGCTCTGGATAATCTCTGTTGTCTGTTACACTTATGCTGTTATATTTATGGAAATAGCAAAATTTGGTCCTACATAATATTGGATTGCAAACCTGGTGTAAAAGCAGTCTATAAATAGACTTAACTTCTTCTGAAATTTTTTTTGTTTGTTTGTTTCTAAACTGGCATATATGCATATATTCAGCATATTAAAATTCCACCTTTTAAATTTTATCGCAGTTTGGGGTTACTATTTGAACTTCCTACAGCAGTGAAACTGATTTGCAGCCAGCTCTCCATTTAAGCAAGATTTCTCTGTGTTCTGAGTTCTTCAAGCCTAAATAAAGTGATTTTTCTCTATTTAGGTACAAGCGATGCAAAATTTTTGGTATGCCAACATTTCAGATTTCTGTGTTTGTTGGCAGACAACAGACAGAGGAGGCTAAGAAACCCACCATGGTAGTCAGGCTGCTTAGTGGCTTGATTTTTCTCTTTTTGAAAGTACTGGAGATTTTTATAGTCCAGAGCAGCTCTGGGTACTTGAATTCTTCAGAACTCCTAAACTTTTCTCCAGTGACCTCTTCAGAGCAAATACTGATGTCCCTATGTCCGTACTTAATACAGTAGGAACGTTCACTTTGCTAGCATTGAATTTGTAGTGTCTTCTCGTAGACCTTTTTGTCCTGATGAGTTTATTTAAATACTTGCAGCAGATTTTTGTGTCTGTAGTCTGATCAGTGTTTGTGAGAAACTCAGTTATCTTGGAGCAGGGATTGAGGAGGTGATGGAGGAGGTCTACTGCACCCCTAGTTCATACTTCTCTGTATATCTATTCTCAAAAGCATAACCTGAAGTGAAAGATGGCATGGAGAAAGAAATGTCTGTGAAAGAGTCCTGTGGCTGATCAGCCGTGTCCTCATTAGGAGCTGTCATTAAGTACTGACCATGGGGAATGCCATTCAAGTAAAATAGAGGCAGATGGTTTTTCTCTGATCAATTAGCTGCTCAGATTGATTTGCTAATCAGTGAGTTGAGGTATTTTGTGGCATTTCAGTCATTTTGGTGCAGTTTAATTTACGGTTAGTCTACTGAATGATCTTTAATTCATGATTGTTTAAATTGAAATTGCATATAAATTAGACTTTTTATTTGCCAACGCCCCTCAAAACGGCAGGAGCTCAGCATCTGTAGTGGTGATGCTAACTTCCTTGATTGCAGAAATGTGATCACGGGCTTATGTCTTCATTCTAATGTTGCTCTTTTTCTTTTCAAAGCTTTTTTCTTTAAAAGAAAATTGAGATACCGTTCTGTTTTCCCACCCTTCATAGCTTTTTTTTTTTTTCTTTTGTATAGGAAAGGGTTAAGTTTCAGGCTGCATATTTTTTGAAGGAAGAAACATCAATTCAAAATTCATTAACAGACTGGCAGGCATCTGTGTATAAGAGAACAGTTTGCTCACCACAGAATAAATCATTTATTAGCAAAAACTCTCTAATTTTCCTCCAAGCAGAGTCTAACAACATATAATGGAGGGAAATGGTGCTGTTTCCAGTCCTGCTGTACAAGTATTGGATGGCTCAGAGAAACAATTAAGGGTTATATAGACTGTTAATGATGCCCAGCTTGCTATTGACCAACAACTTTGACCATCTGACAAGCTGGCGATGGGCTACATTAAATTAGTTAAACATCTCAGTCAGGTTTCCAGTAGTCTATGTTTGTAAGTTTGAAAGTCTTTGGTGACCTCAGCAGATTGAAATCACTGCCAGCTCCTAGAGGTCATGCACATTAACTTCTGAAAGAGAAATATTTTGCTTAGGCCCTAATGCATAGCTTATAAACGAAATATGTTCCTACAAACTGTAGGCAAGTGTGACAGAAGGTAGCGACGCTTTTCTGCTGGTGGGAAGTCCATCACCATTTCTGTATACTCAAATAAAGATGTCATCTCACAGCAACAATTTATTACACAATTTTTCCTTTATGGATGTTGTTTATCTGCTAGGTTTGGAGTTACTGTTGCTATTGCCTTGCTCTTACCAACCTCTGGAACATATCCTGGAACTCAATCAATAAAATTTGCAATTTTCATTTCTCTCTTGTTGATACAATCTAATGCACATCAAACGTCTCTAATGAAGAATTGTTAGAAAGGTAAATAACGCAACTGTTTGTATGACTGTCTCAGGGGCTAGCAACAAATATTCTAAGTCAGGGAACTGGCTTCTGGATAGCTGGGTATGTATGAGGGAAGCTCATGGAGATTGTTAGTATGAAATGGTAAGAGACAACCAGAGCACTTTTCAGTGACACTGTGGTTGGTTTCTTTTCCCTTGTAGCGGAAACGCCTTGCATCAAATTATTTGAATAACCCCTTGTTCCTTTCAACAAGAGGTAAGCATATTTTAAAATAAATATTCTAATGGCATGTTAAATATTTATTAGTAGGATTTCATATGAATTACTGCTAGGGTACCACAGGGCATTAGTTTTTGTAAGGTCCCTGCACTTTTTAGTGTGCAGTGTGAATAGATGGTTTTCCTGCAAAAACAGTTGAAGGGTAAGGCTAAAGGTCAAAACTGTGGAGAAATGGATCCAAAGTCTCAGCAGTCAGTGGAAAGTCTGATCTCTAGTATTTTAAGCACCATGCAGTGAGAGGACTGATTGAAGAAGGCAGAGTAACCAACCCCAGGTGCTTAAAAATATATATTGAAAAACTGGGATTTAAAAATTAATTACTATTCTGGGCTTTTAATTTGCCTCTTTTCATCAGCTTAAAGAAACTGCTGCATATCCTCAAGGGCTAGAATTTTTCCATACCTTTTACTTTAAAAAAAGTGACTGAAAAGCGACACATTTTTTCTGACTCCAAGAGCTGGAGCCATAAATCTAGGTTTGATGGCCTTGAAGATGCCTTCCAATCCTGTATTTATAAGAACTTCAGATGCTGAAAATTTCATGGTAAAAGCCTTGAGAATGAACAACTCAGAGGAGCCATTTAGGGATGATCATGATTAGCTTATGTGAAGAAGCTTACTCTGAAAAATGGGAAATGAGTAGAGAAGATAAAGAGTTCAGAGGTGGGAGATGAATCATAGAATCATAGAATAATTTTTATTGGAAAAGACCTTTAAGATCATCAAGTCCAACCATTAACCTATCACTGCCAAGTCCACCACTAAACCACATCCCCGAAGCACCACGTCTACGCGTATTTTAAACACCTCCAGGGATGGTGACTCCACCACTGCCCTGGGCAGCCTGTTCCAATGCTTGACTACCCTTTTAGTTAAGAAATTTTTCCTGTTATCCAATTAAACTGCCCTTAGCTCAAGTTGAGGCCATTTCCTCTTGTCCTATCGCTTGTTACTTGGGAGAAGAGACCGAGACCCACCTCTCTACACCCTCCTTTCAGGTAGTTGTAGAGAGTGATAAGGTCTCCCCTCAGCCTCCTTTTCTCCAGACTAAACAATGAAACTAGGAGAACACTGAGTCCAGTTTAATTCTTCAGACAAGGCCCATGTAGGATTTTAAGAGAGAAAGGGCCAAGTTTGATTTGCATGTCAGAAGAAGAGAGAAAGCCAGTAAAGAAATGTGATTATGTCCTTGCCCTCGTGTTGCCTTTATAACTGAGGCTCTGCTGTAGTGCATTAGGGGTAAGGGAAGACAGGCCTTTTTCTAATCCAAATATTATTTCAGTATTAGGAGCATTTACAAGGGTAATTTCAATTAAGACATGAAGTTTTGACAGTTTTTCAGTGTTTGCTTGATATCCCTGTCAAGTGTCATGTTGAGTGCTTGCGATTCACCTTTCTGGCCCTGCCTTGAATTCCTGCACCACAGGATCACCAACTGAAAGGCAGCAGTGCTTGGCTCTGCCCTCCAAACTTCATGCGCTACATGCAGACAATTGGCCTACTTACCATATGCCTCTAATGCACAGGGTCTCAGAGGACAAGCGAGGTTATTACATGGTAAACAGCTATGATGACATGCCTCTTAGCAGGAGCCCATGCTCATGTGAGCCCCAGTGGAAAGAACATTATTCCTGGATTAGTTTTATCTGCAAAATTAAAATTATAATTTATTATTTGTCTTATCATAGCACTTGTTTTTCCCATGTATGCATATGGAAAAAACCAGGAGAGAATGGCAACGTTAGCAAGCCGTGCTGTTAGCCCCTCAGTGGATTTTGTTTAAGTTAGGATTTGATATCTCTGACCTTCTTTCTGCTGCATGCTTCCTATTTTCTTTGCAAGGAAGCAGCAAGTGACAGAGCTTTGGTGATGCGACTGTCTTGGAGTGTGCTGCTTGGAAATCAGCACGCTCTCTCTCCTTAATTGTTAATTCCTCTTCGAGTCCTGTCTCTTTGGTTTTTCCAGCATCTAGGATCTGTACTGGGATTCTGGACCTTCTGACAATTTTAAGATGGACTTCTTTATATCAGAACTCCCCACCTCTGTAGGGGTTTATTAGCCCCTGAACTGAAGGCTCTGAACTGAAGGCAGACGCTGTCCCAGGCAGCTTGGCACTGCAGTGATGCAGTTGTCCACCCTCAGCACAGAGCTGACTGCCCCTTCTCTTATAAAACACTCATTAAAAAAAAAAATTGTATCCAGTTTAATTTTTCAGCAACTAGAAGGCAGAAGGGGACATATTTTAAAATGTTTAAAACTTTACAATAAAAGTGAGCTGAAAAAAAGAAATAAACAAACTAAAAAAAAAATCCCTATGAAGTACAGGAAACAACTGTCATTTCCAGAAATGCAGAAGAGAACAATTCTTGTAAATTTTCAGCAAAATCTCAATTAATCAGGATTCATTTATCTGAAAATATCTTACCTGAAATGAGGTCACATCCCCTGACATGTATAATTTGTAAAAAAGATTCTTCAATTATCAGGCCCCTGTTTATCTGAATAACATTTCTATCCCCTGAGTAATTGCAGTGTCATATCATGGTGGATCTCTGTGTGTGTATTTGTGTATATGAAGTGACAGCTGCAGATTTTATAAGTCTGTGATTATTTATGGAACTCATTGCCAAAGGACGCTACAATTGTTGGAAAAAGTAGACAAATTTATGGAGGAAAAATCTATCTAAGGGTGTTAAATATAACGAACACTCGAAGATGCAAACTGCAGGTTAGGGAAGCCCGTAAACTGTGAGCATTGGGAAGGAAGGATAGTTCTGGAGGAGAAACATTTACTCTGTTCTTGCACTCTGTGTGTGAATGGCAGCGCTGGATACTGTTAGCAAAGGACCCCGGGCTTTATAGCCTTTGCTCTAACTTAGGTGAAGATGTTCCTTCATTCTTATGTTCCTTTTCTTATGTGTGTGTGGTGTGAATATGTCTGCATCTTCACATGCATGCGTACATCAGTGTGTAAAACAAATGTTTAAGAGCAGGAAGCAACTCCTAGTCAGTCTGTATATGAGAGATGGCACTATGGGAGCTATATTCCCATTTGTGATCAGAGAGGGAGCTGAAGAAGGACAAAAGGACAGAAATATCAGTTTAGTTGTCTCCACTTTAACCCACAGAAAGGCCACTCCATCAGCTGTTTGTCACTGGGACAGTATGCGCCAGCCTCTTACAAATCAGCAGCAAAAATTACAACCCACTGTGTGGTTTCCATAAAGCTGTTAAAATTTTCTGGCTTTCTATTTTTGGACTGAAGTGTGATGAATTTCACAAATATTTTTCTGAAAGGCTTGGCCTGCTTTCCAGTGAGCTCTGATGGTTCTTGTTCTTAGCAGGCTGTGAATGCAGTCACTACAGACATGGTTCATCAGAAGGTCAGAACATCTTGGTGGTTTGGGTGGGAGTAGTTTGATGGTAAAGACTTGATGATAACATAAAGCTCAGTTGTACTAGTAGCTGACCATTTTGGCCATGAATCAGCTGACCGTTTAAACATGTGTTAAACAGTAATCACAGAATCACAGAATGTCAGGGATTGGAAGGGACCTCAAAAGATCATCCAGTCCAATCCCCCTGCCAGAGCAGGAACCTAAATGAGATCACGCAGTAAGGCGTCCAGGCGGGTTTTGAATGTCTCCAGAGAAGGAGACAGTGGCAACGCTTTGATACTCCAAGTTAAGCGCCTGCTTAAGTGCCTTGCTGGTTCATGGCCAGACTGTTCATCACCCAGCAGGCTGAAGTCCTTAAGAAAGGCTTTTGGACTAGTGACATGTAGAGAGGAGGTCTGCATGAAAATTTTTGAAAATCTGAAATAGAGTCTGCGCTTCTCATATTATCTGACTTTTCAGCATCAGATCTTCAGACACGGGATTCCTGCAATGTAAAATTTAAAAATCTCAAAAGCTAATTCCACCGCTGGCTGTTGCATTCTTTCCTGCCTGCATTACTTTTGGCAATGTCCTGATCTCCTGTGTCACAGCTTGACTAAAATCACTCCTGTAGCTGAGAACTAGAATTCACTGCAGTGATGTATTTCCTACTAATCTGTTCTCTGCCCTTCTTTCATATGCTAGCAAATGAGGATCCATTCTGGAAGGTATGTGTAGCAAAATTTGTGTATTAACAGTGTCTTTCTCATCACTCTGTAATCCAATGCTTGCTTCTGGTTATTGTAGTCTCTATCAAGGTACACAATCACCACATTCTCTTCGCTTTTCAAACTGCCTGTGTGAAACATTTCCCACTTAACTAAGTCTTGGAGCCTTTAAGTTAAGAGTTTAAAAGAGATGAACTCTTGGGCTTTCATGTACAAGGCTTGAGTTTAATCCCTTTGCAGAATCCACTGATTGAGAAATTGCTAGTCCAGATTTGTGGTTTTAATGAAAATTTTAAGAAAAATGAGTAACCATTCTAGTTTGTATAGATTAAATCCCTTTACACTGAAGTTAAAATTAAGACTTTTTGAGCAGGTAATTTATAAAAAGTAATATTTTGGAGAGTGATCTTTTGACAGGACTGAGTTAGAATTCAAGATACAAGCCTGACTAAAACTATCAGGAAACATTATAATTAATATCCCTAAAAATGAAAATATGCTTTTGGAACTAACAAAGGTACAAAATTATTATTCTCCTTCCCGGAAAAGCACTAGGAAAATTTAGGGTTTTTTATAATGATTCACAAGCTATGAGAGTTTCAAAATCAGTATCTCCTTTATTAAAATGCACTTAATTATACAAAGAGTAATTAATGTTGCCACCAGATTAGCATAGCAATTTACTACATGACATTGTAACTTTGTTGATGAGTCTTGGTTCATTTTATGTATTGCTTCAGACAAAGTACTAATCACTCTTGTTGGAGAAAGGTTTTCAGAGAGAGTCTGAAGAGAGAACAATCAGAGCCAGGGAGAAGAGAGGGACAGAGGAGCCCTCTAGAGGAGTTCACAAAAGAGGGTACATAGCAAGAAGATGTACTCAGCATACTATTTTCCTAGCTGCTCTTTGAGGCAATAAGCATAAAACATGGAACTGTGCTTTTTCTCCAGAAACTTTTCCTTGCTTGATTCCTTCTACTTTGGACTCGAAAGACAAGCAATCCACATATTGGCTTTGACCCATGCTTCAAAATAGAGTTGCACATGGTGATGTGTGTGTTGGAATGACACATTATCAAAACCAAGTGAAAGAATTCCTACGTCACAAGCTGCCTATATAAGTTGACTCCCTGCTGTGTTTGATTAGTTGGTTTTTATTTTTCTATTAGTTTCAATTTATGGAACTTGCTTTTGGCTCTCGTTTGTTTGTTTGTATTTGTTGCTATCATACACCATTCTTTCTGTCTTCTGCAGTGGCCAGGGTGCTTAAGACAATTTGATTTTGTATTTGAATGAGCCTGTCTGCTGCGATAGTGGCTTTGAATGCTGTATAGAGAGAAGTTCTCAATGGGTTGACTTTACCCACGCCAACCTTCTTGTCTTGCAGAATGAGAGCCACCATGATGAACACTGCACTGCTTGCAAGCGTGGCGTTAACTTGCAACCCTGTGGTGCATGTCCCAGAGCATATCACCTCAACTGCTTGGACCCGCCCCTCAAAACTGCCCCCAAGGGGGTTTGGGTCTGTCCGAAGTGCCAACAGAAGGTAAGCCACATGGAGCACAGCACGCCAAGAAAAGAAAATTCAGGAAACCTCGGATTTGTGTACCGCTGAACTAATCTAACCTGTGGTCACAGCTTAGGGGACTACATTAACTTAAGTAATACTGAGGGGCTTTTAGTACAGTTTGCAGCATTTGTTTCTGGTATTTTTATCATCTTAGAGTTAGAACATACACTGAATGCCTTACCTTCCCCGTGATCGCATCTGTTGAGATTTGTCCTTTTAAAGTGTCTCTTCATTTCCTTTGTTTCCCTTCTTTACAATAAAGCCACCAGCGTGTAGCGTTGCTAGTAATGTAAATCTTATAGGTGAGGGAGACAGCATCAGAAGGAGACACTGTTCATCAGTGGATCTGAAAGCTGCGAGAACGCTTCCTTTTCTTTAAATCATGTTTATTACACACGACTGTTGATTGTAGTCATGTCAGAAATGCTAATTTGTCTAGTTGCTGTGCATAATGCTGATTGCATGAACAGGAAAACAATTACTAAAACACTACAGTGTCACTAAGTTGTGGAGTGAGGTTTAGATTTTGTGCCTCAGAGTTCTTTATATTTAGCACTGAGATCACTGTTGTGTTCCTTTGAAAATGTCAAGGGGAATTTCTAGTATGCAGTTGCAGAGAGCAGAGCAGCCCGGGATTGGATCCGCACAGTCATGCTTTCACATGGACCAGCAACTTCTCCCATGCTGAGTAGACAACACGCCTGACAGTGTGGAGATCTGCTTGTCAGGGGCTGAAGAATGTCTTCTGGCCGTGTCAGCAAGAAACAGAGGATTTGCTAACCTTCTTTTAGCACTGTTTGGTAATGCTGTTTATAGTGATGTGTAAAGGAGTAAGCCCCAATGGAGACTGTCACTCGAATTATTCTCTTGTTACTTTTCAGCTTGTGAATTCTGAGACAAGGACCCTAGATCTGGTCCTGCAGAGCTGTGGGGCTGGAGAACAAAAACATTAATGTCTGCCTTTGTGGAGTTCTAACTTTTTATTGTTTCCTGGGCTTATAGGTGTTAAAGAAAGATGACAATGTGCCATGGACGGGAACTCTGGCTATTGTTCACTCCTATGTTACTCATAAAACAGGTAGGGATTAACTTAGCTATTGGCAAGAGATACTCTGCTCATGATGGGTGATGCCACTTATGTCCTTCATGGCACTAATATTAAAGTGGTGTCGTAATGCTACCAGCTATTGTGGCATCATTGAGCAAAGGGCTGTAAGGGGCTGTGGCAGGGAACAGCAGGTCACTTTCTCTCCCCTTCCCCTCACTCTGCTCCTTCGCTGTCTTCTCTCTTTGAGGAAGCTAAGATCGATCTCTCAGGAACTTCACTCTGTGAAGGAAGTTGTCATGAAAGTGGTGCCTTCCTGGGAACAGGACTGAAAAGGGGTTTTAAGGCAGAATCGTATCAGGCTGGGAGGCAGAGACACAGTCAGGCTAGGCAGAGACGTGTCATTGCATATGTAGCATGATATGAGACTAGTATCTCAAGTACTGCAGTAGTATCAGCTCCTAATTGTTTTGGTATTATTTGCTATCACAATTATTAGTATCAGATGTCATATGATATCTGTGCATTGCCCATTACTCTTTTTTAATTCCATGTTGCACTGTTACAAATGGGCATTAGATTGTGTTTGGAGCTTTGCAGGGGTCTGGTATTGTTATGATTGTGCTTTTCAGCCAGCATCGCTGAACTATTGCCATTCCAGTTGGCTGACCTGTTCTTAAATGACCTGACCTTTCACCTCTTTCTTGGAGACCTCCAGGACCACATGTGGTCCAAGGATTAATTGTAATTCATCTCAAAGGTGCTCTATAGCTTTTGGTTTGTTCTGTGTTCATTGACATAGACACACGTGTGCAAGCAGAAACTCTGGATTTATCTGGCTGTACCTGCTGACAAAAGGCTAATGAGACCTGAAACTCACCATTCAAAATACACACTCCTGCTTTCTGTTGTCAGTTTTGCTGTGTGTCCTTTTCTTAACTTCTGCATCCTTAATCTTATTGTTCCACAGTCAAAGAAGAAGAGAAGCGAAAGTTATTAAAGAGGAGCAGTGAGCTGAAGAGCGAGCATAGGCAGTTAGAAGAAAAAGATCGACTTCTCAACAATGCAGTGAAGGTAGGACACCTGACTGGGGACACAGTCTCCTGCAGGGATGCTTCTAAATAATTTATGCTTGAAAACCTGGTATTTTGTGGCTAGAAAATGATTTATGCTCCCAAGGTACAGGTGCTCAAGTGTGAGTGTGTTTCTCTCTGAGGAAAAACACATGGATTTTCTTTATGCACCAAAGCAAGCTGCTTTGCCAGGCTGAGGAGGAGAAGTCACCATGACTGAGTTCCTGTTGCAGACAAAAACCCCAACATATCTGTGCCTGCCTTCCTTGTAGTGCCATACACAGCTCTCATCTGTCCAGTGTCTTAGGCACTTCCATTCTCCAGGTGAAAAGTTTAGTCACAAGCGTGTCCTCCAGTGCTTGTCCATTAGCTCAGAACTCTTGAGATCAGGTAGAGATGCCATCTTTATTTGTCTTAGAGGCTGAATGTTGTAAACTCCTCGTGACTGGAAATGGATTCACAATCCTTTTCTCTGTGAACCTGTTTCAAAGCTAAATGTTGGCTGGCAATGTCTCCCACACATACTGTGCTGTGAGGACCAGTCTCTGGCAGTAATGAGTGGGCTGAGTCCAAAGCCATAATTCCTGTCCTTCATGGGTGAAGGAACTTATCTGGGGCTACCTCACCTCAGGCTCACTCTTAAGGGGTAGCTGGCATCACAATCTCAATAAATATTTGAAACTTCCTTACCCTGGAAAAATCAAAGTGGCAGCTGCAGGAGTAACTGGTCACTAGTTGTTTTACCACTACAGTTATCCACAGGAGGCATGTTAAAATATTTATCACATTTAAAATAGAGTGGAAGGAAAAGCAATAACTTATTAAAAGACATCACAGTGGGGAATACTCCCTGTAAGTGTGTATAGCCACCATCAGCACTAATGGAAACACAGATGTGTGAAGAAGTGACTCTGGGGTACAGAATATCTTCAGTAGGTAGGAGAGTGCAAGGGGACGAGGTGTTCGGAAAAAGAAAAGCATTTGGGGATGGAGTCAGCTATCAGGTGTATGTCAGGGCTGTCAAAATCAGTAAGATTTCTACCTAAGCAGAATCAGGTTCTTTCAGTGGGCAACACTGTCTTATTTAAATTATAATATCAGATGATGATTGTATTTATTGGAGATATATCCACTTGAAAGGAGAAAAGCAATTAAAGGTGTTCCAGCACAGAGCAATTTAATTTCTGACATTTTCCTTAGTAGAGATTTACATTAATGAGAAAACTGTCACACACACCACAGGTGGAATGGTATTATTTGGAAAGAGAATGTGATTTATCTTTCACCTGGGATTTCACCTGTTTAAACCAACGTCTGACCAGCTCTACACAGTGGCTTTTCAAACAACTTGACTTTCAAGCGAGCATTTCCCCCTTCCCCAGGACTGGAGACTACCCCCATACCCCGGGTAGAGGTACCCCATTTGGTAATGGCAAATGGTACCCCATTTGGCAATGGCTCCTCTTTGGCCATTGCCAAAGAGGAGCAATCTGTGGACAAGTAACCAGTTTTGCCAGACCCCTGGGCCCACTGGGAGAAAGAAAACAGGAGGTTTCAGGTATTGGAGAGGCCACCATCCCCTTCCATCTAGCAGACAGGCTCAGGGGTTTGGTCTGTGGCAGAGTCCCTCTCAGGCCAGCTGACAGTGCAAAGGGTGGGATGTTAGCTGCAGCAGTACATGGTGGGGGAGGGAAAGGAGAATTACCAATTCTTCCTTATCCCTTCTTGGAGAAGAGGGAGACTGGGGATGCCTTCATTTGGCTCCTGCTCTCATGCTTATTTTTATGTAGGTTTGTATGAAATGTTTCGAGTGATTGTGGGGAGCAGTTTGGCCACCCCATAGGAAAAAGGCTTTCTCGTGACTGCAGTGGTGTAACAGTAGTGTCTTAGGTCAAGTTTTCTGCCAAAAAAATATTGACATCATGTTTAGAGAGATCAGTTTATCTTCACAGTACTGACTCCCTCAAATGTGTAGCACGTGCAAAATGCATCATGGTGAGGTTTATCCCTCAAGTGTTTATCAGTGCCATGTGGTGTGAAAGAGGGCAGGTTTAGATGAGATATTAGGAAGAAGTTCTTCACTGTGAGGGTGGTCAGACACTGGCACAGGTTGCCCAAGGAAGTTGTGGATGCCCCCTCCCTGGAAGTGTTTAAGGCCAGGCTGGATGAGGCTTTGAGCAACCAGGTCTAGTGGAAGGTGTCCCTGCTGATGGCAGGGGGGTTGGAACTGGATGAGTTTTAAGGTCCCTTCCAACCCAAACCATTCTATGATTCTATGATTTCAACACCTCACTGGTGGCTTTGGTACTTTCCAGTAATACAGCTATTGCAATCCCGTGCCAGCAATCTCTTTGGAGTGGAGAAGGCACTTCTGCCAGGCTGCCTACACAACGAGGTGGGAAACATCCTTTGAATGCATTTGAACTGGGGTGAATATTGTTACCTTAGACAGCTGCTGCCGTGTATGTGGTGCTGGTGATTACTCCATTCGTTAAGCTGCGGTTTTGCTATCCCCAAAGGAGAATGAATATACTTCATTTGAACAGGACATGCACTCAAGACACAAAAGGATGTTTGGAGAGATGTTTGACACCAATTTGAATGTATTCTCAGTCTTTCCTTCTCTCTCTCTCTCTCCTTCTCTTTATTTGACAGAAATGCTTAGAGCTAAAAACCAGCCTGTTGGCCCAGCAGAAAGGGACTCAGTCATCACTGGAACGTCTCAAAACCCTCATTAGACTGATACAAAACGAGCAGATGATTCAGGTTACCATGACGACGACCACCACCTCCTCCCTGCTAACCGTCCCCTGGATCAAACCCTCCTCTGCCTCCGCTGCCATGCACAAAGCCTTGCAGCAATCACAGGGTAACAACTGACAGAGCCGGATGTGAGAGAGCCGAGGAAGGGGGAAAAAACTTTCTAGACGTGCGCAGAGGAGAGATTGAACTGAAACACGGGAGAGAAGGAACAATCTCAGTTTCGATACGCGTAGAAACTTGCAAACCCATCAGCCCCGTTTGTAGGTCACTGTGGCAGCAGGTCCCCACGGAGCGGGTTGTGCTGCGGTTCTGTATTTGCTGAGACCTTCAGTGCTTATGAGATTTCTTTTTGTTATGTTGGCCTTAAGGTATTTATGACTGAGGAGGAGCAGGAGAAGAATGGCCGATAGGAAGCAGGATATCCTTTCGTGGGGAGCAGATGGGTTTCCAGTTCTGCTTTAAGGGGAAAAATTTTTCAATGCAAAGAGTTAGTGAGCTAGTAGAGAAGTAGTTGGGCTGAAAGCTGTGTGTGTGGGAGGGAAATCGCTGAGATTACCAGAAACTGAACTACTTAGGACTCGACGTGGATTCTTGTCAGAAGAACAAAGTTGGCCCCGTTGATTCAGGCGAGCTGGAGATGGGGCCGTTTTGAGCGGAACGGCGTCACGGACACTCATAGAGCCTTCGAAACAAAAGATTGGTTTTTTTCAGTATTATTAGAGTTGAGAATTGCAGATATTTAAATAAAGAAGCTGTATGAAGTTAGCGTTTCTAGTAAAATATTGAAGTATTTTCATGCTGATGCTTCTGTATATGCGTTCTGAAGTATTTAAAAAAGTATGACTGTAAAACTCCTTACTTTTTTGCAGGTCCTTTTTACTTATTTTGCTATCGGTGTATTTTTCTCATGGAGTTTTTGTGCAAGATTTAGCGTAAACCATAATAGTGGATCTCTTTGGCAGGTTGGGTTTCGTTTTTTTTTTAAGAGATTATTTTGGGGGTTTTCTTTTTTGTTAATTTTTGAAAATTTTTTTTAAAGAAAAAAAGCAAATAAATATTCTGGTTTTTGTTTCTTGCCAGTACAGATAATATGCCAAAAAGATAACTTTACATTTTTGTACTGCATTTTTATTGTTAAAAATATGTAATGTGATTTATTTTTTTTAATTATTCTTATTCTTTTTTGCTTGCAGAAATATCTGCTGAAATGGTACAGGACAAAAAAAAAAACCCAAACAAACCTGCCTCAAGGGGTTGTTTTCATACTGGATAATATCAAGAGTTCTGGGGGAGGGACAGGCTGTGGAAAATTTTAAGGGTTTGTTGGATTTTTTTTTATTTTTTAAACTTGATTCCTTTTTAAGATTTTGTTGGATTTTAGCACATTTGGGAAGCGTTTAGCATTAGCCTGAGAAAATCCCAGCGCGCCTGCTTGTTTCACTAGCTAGTCTTCCTGATACTGCAAGGGTCTGCCTGGCCCCCCCGCAGGCCCCAGGCCCCCGTCACCTGCGGCCGCCCGGGAAGGTAGTGATGGGCACCCCGGTTTTTCTCACACCCCCACCCCCCAGATGCCATCGTCTCTGTCATTTCTGAGTTCTCCATCAATTAGCACAACAGGTACTTAAGGAAGCAAGAAGCCACCAGAGCATGACACAAGGCTAGTCTCTCACATCAGCATATCACATGGTGCCGAATAGCTTTTTTTCTTTAAACAAAACAAAACAAAAACCACCCAACCCATGAGGGACTGGCTTTTTCTGTCGCCCATCACTAGGCAGCACATGGTCCCTTCAACCATTTTCACAACTCCGGGAGAAACTGTGCAGTACTATACAAATCTATTTTAATACACAACACTCGGTTGAACAAGATTTTTATATTCTTTTATTGATATGAACAAAGTGAACTAAGTAAAACACAATTGTTATACATTGGTTATTGTATGCCAATTATGCATTCTAACGTGGCTTGCAATTTAAATGTTTTCAGGTTTAATGATTTTTTTCCTTCTCGGACAAATTAAAAAAAAAAAAAGGAAAAGCGTGGAAGGTTGAATATGTGAAGAATTTCTGAAGAAGTGTCTTGGACTGTTAAAAGTAGTTATTTTGAAAAGGGGACTGTCCAGTGGATAGTGTGCATAGAAAAAAAAAAAGTGTTTGTCTTAAATATACCAATGTAGTTTTACTTCTTTATGATGCATTAAACTTGATTGACAATTTAACAGCCTTGTCATCGTCATGATATCCTGTGACCCCTTCCCAGGCCACACTCTGACTGAGGGGACGAAGGGACTGGTGCCGATTTCTCCACCGTTGTCTTCAATTTTTAGATTTAAATGATGCCAGAATGACAGTATTTTTGCTTTCCTTCTTCCAGGAAGATGACCTCTTCCTTGAGGCCATCCTGTCTCCCAGGCAGGAGCACCTTGTCCACTCCCTTTCTTGGCTTCCTACCTCTTGGAATAATTTCCCGTCCCACTCTTCCCCGGATCAGTACACAGAGGTGTTGGCAGTACCTCAGATCTCTCCCTTTTCCTCTTGCATCACGCACAGGTTGTGTTTTTAAAGTTTTCACCAGGATTTAAACACTGCAGTGGCTTTGGCCTAAATTGTGGTGAATTGAGTCTGCTCAGGAGCAAGCTTGAGGTTCTGACATGGGAAAAACATTACCATAGGGTAACATGGTGCTGTACATCAGTCGAGCTGTCTGTGTGTGCTCCATACATCCTCTGTGCACGTGGCAGGCAGCATGGTCCTTGCTGATGGTGGGTTCCTGGAGAAAGACTGGCTGCAGAGCTATGACGTACAGTTGGCTGCAGCAGATCTGCGGGTAGACCCCATAGAATTTGGTTTCAGATTCACACTTTCAGGTGCTCTTCAAATGTCTGGTGAGCCCATTTTATCAAGTTGTTTATGACTCACTGTGTAAGTCTAGGAACTAAAGAATGAGAGACAGGTCCCTGGCAGGAGTTGTCTGGTTTCTGGCCGGTGGAAGGGATGGAACTTTCCAATAAAACAAACCAAATGAAAGTGAGACAAGGTTACAGCTGCATAAAACCTACCACAGCGGCCAACAGGGAGGCAGAGCAGAAGCAGGGGGTTTGGGTTGTTGTTTTGGTTTTTTTCACCAGGGCTAGGAGGAAAGGGTATTTTTCATTTGGTTGAGAGGAGAAGCAGTGGCCTTGTCTTCATCTCCTGGCAGTGTCACCATTTAAATTTGGGCTGCAGTTAGCAGGCGGAGCTGAGCACCATGTATTTGCTTCCCCTGCAGCTAGGCTGCCTCCTCCCCACCTCCTGGTCTCTGCCACAGGAAGGACACCCTGTTTTTTTTTCCTAGCATTGCTTACAATTTTAGAAGACCCCTCTCCTCCAAATCAGCAAACCCAGAAATTGTATGTAATCACCATCATCATCATTCTGCCACCACCCTAACCTATAAGCTCAGCACTGTGCTGACAGACAGGAGCCAATTACAGAGCTCTGTGTGTTGCCTGAATAATTAATACAGTTGCAAAGGAGTGCAGGCTTACGTGAGCCTTTCATCTTCAATGGTAATTTAAACAATGTTTGGTGGAGATTTGTAGGAGCCATGGTAGCTTCTGTGTTCCTTGCTGTGGCACCAGGCATTGTCTTTGAAAAGAACCGGGAGCCGCAGGGTTCCCGGCCTCCCCTCCCAAGCCAAAGTTATTTTTTCAGCTATGCCAGACTTCACAGCTTCAGAGCTCTTTGTTTTAACACGACAGACAGTTTCTGTGCATAGGACCTTTTCACATCCCATTAGTTATCTCGCTGCGCTGCACATAGCCATTCCAATGGAATGTGTTGTCTCCAAGCCTATTAGTTTTATATTTGCACCTCTTCAAATGTAATTTTGCCAACTCTTCCTTCTCTCACTGTTTCCCTTTCCTCAGAAATGAGAGGAAAAGGAACTCTTCTGTCTTGCTGGGAAGTGCGGAGCGATGCCAGCCCTTCCCAGCGAGCAGAATGAGGAAACAAGCTGGTGTGGCTTGTTTCTGTCAAGATCTCAGATGTTTTCAGGCTTCTTTCTCCTAGAAGGAGAAGCCACAATGGATCCATTATGCCCTAAAGGCTCAAAAATGAGGAAGCAAAGTCAAGACTCCTCTTTTTTTTTTTTTTTTTATATTTAGTTGACTGTTACTGGCAGCACATTTTGCGAGATGGATTTAATGGTAGCGTCAGACCAGCTAGCAGCTTCTCTTGTGGTAGACATCAATGTAAGGATGATGGTGCAAACTCTACAACAGCTGGATTAGGAGTTTATTCTCCATGCCGACGTACCCATCGCACGCTGGTTTCCTCACAGTTTGATGGCCTATTAGGAACACTTAAACTCAGAGGAGTGCATTATGAACTGTATGTACTTCTTGTTCTCTGTTCTTCAGGTCCTCTCTTCAAAAGCCAGATGTTACACTGAAAAGAGTGTCAACAGCCACATCAGATAAACCTTCACTCACTTTAATCAGGTTTTGCCAACTGCAGCTTATTTTGCTTAGGAAATGAAGCCTGACTTCTGAGATCAATCACTTAGTGACTGACTGGTGCAAACAGAAAATGCCAGACTCTGCTTCTGCAAGCCACTTTTAAGTTCACCATGGTGAATATCATTAAAGCAAAAGGGGTTTCTGCTCCCTTAAAAAAGCAAACAAAAAATTAAATTGTCATCATAGAAAAAATACTGCAAAGCATACACAGGCCTATAGAAATTCTATCCAGGGAGAAGGAAAAAAAACAAGATGCCATTGCTCTTTGAAGTTGCTGTTTGCATTTGTACTGGCGGGCTGCAGATGACTTCTGTGCTGTTTAAATGCAGTGGAAACGCTGCACCCCAGCCTTTGATTTCCAGCCTCACTCATTGAGCAGTTACCACAGAAACTTTAATTCACTTTTGCGTTTTTGTCTTTGGTTTGAGCTGTGGCAATGCCCAGCCTTTCCCCTGGGTCGCCGTGCTGGCAGCACAGCTGACTGGCAGCCCAGCTGCTGTTGACAAAGCAATCACCCAGTTGCTGAGATGTAAACTTTGCAGTGAACATCTCGGCGCCTGTGCTTTGTCCGTTCCGCGTGGGAACATCACTGTTTCGTTGATGAGGTGCAGTCCTG